GGATCATATAACTTTCTCTTCGGCATGCTGAAATTCATTGTGCATGAACAAGGTCAGTAACGATATTTTCACTCATAATGTCCAATATAAAAAGTCAATATAAATTCTTATTTTGTGGCAACAAATTTATTTAAAGTCACAAGCGGCGTGAGCCTAATAGCGCTTGGAGCGTTCTCTAGCGGCAGTTTACAGTGCACAGAAAGCGCACACTGCGATGGCCAACATCGAAGCCATTTTTATGAGATCATGGAATACTTCAACTTGTTAGGCCTACTCTTGTAAGTGGATGTTTTGAAAATTATTTCAATAAGCCGAGAACAAGAAACACAAACAATAAGAGATGAGACAAGTTAGGCTACAACACTTATAGCAGTAAAAGACGGCCGTGTTTACGTCCACAGCGATCGATGTATCTACCCGTAACCAGTATGAAAAAGTTAGAAATCGAGATCGGAAACTGACAGTAACAAGTGCAGACGAGAACGGACGGTAAACGACTTTAAAACTTGTTTGAATAAACGTAAGTTCAGTATTAATTTTATCAAATTTAAGAGCAACGAACTTTCAAACGCTAACACTTCAATTGTATCAGGTCGTAACGTGCGTCTGCATAGCGCGTTTGATACATTGTAGCAGAAGCTTGAAACTTACGTGGAACGGGGATTTTTTTATGCTCTGCATGCTGGGTAAAAAGGGCAAACTTCCAGTTTTGTTCCATAATCCGGGGTCGTTCCATAATGCGGGGTCGAGGTATATGTATATATTCTGATAACTGTGTATGTCTGTTTTATCGCTATATGCGTTTATCATAATATAATAATATATTTTGATCACTGTGTGATATCTGTGTTGTAACCAATGTATGTGTCTCCATATACTGTTTATTTATGATATGTTTTCTGATTTTAGCACAGATGAAGGTGTGTTTTCTGGATTATCATCTCACTGAAGACAGCTGACAACATATGGCAGTTTCAGCACAGGTCAGTGCAACAATGATATTACTATACTGGTGATTATCTTCAGTCCCCCTGTAGAACACCATCACTATATATATATATATATTATCTGGAATATTATCATTTTGTAAAAGTGTCACTTAGATCCCACTTAGTTTAATATATGTTCAAAGTGAAAAGGGTTAATGTGAACTCATAGATGGAATGGGGGGGGGGGGGATCAGGACCCCCCTGACCGCCCCTCTAAATCTGCCACTGCTATCTACAGTGGGCCTACTTAATTAATATGGTCAAAATAATAAACGATTGTAAACCCATCTCCTATTTATCTCACTAAATTGAGACTTATGTTTTATCTAAGGGTACAATCTAGAGACGGTTTTATTGGTTTTTATAGTTTTTACCTATCAGGTAATCAATTTTTTTTTTTTTTTT